CAGGCCTAGTGGCTCCAAGAGCCCAAGGGAGCCCCTTCCAGAAGGGGAGATCCAGAATGTTTGCCTCTGTAGGGGCACTAGGGAGCTTAAAGCCCCTGTCCTTGCCCCTCTTTGGCACAGCCACCACTCCTGTATCTCAGAGAACCTTTGAGGTACCACTGAGGTGGGGGAAAGGAGTGGAGATCCCCTGAGTGCTACAGAACTCAGCAGCCACTGCTGCCATCCAGTCTGAGGTCTGTGGGCCTTGCTTATATGTGAACACCCCTATCCTCTCTACTGAGGTCACAGGGACCCATCGGTCCCAGGCCACACCTGGCCCTCCAACTGGACAGTTCAGTGTGGGAGATGGTTCTAGAAACCACCCACCCTGGCCTACTGCAGCAGTAGCCTCACTGGTCACATCAGCCTAGACCCCCTCCACCCTTCAGACCGGACCCTGGCCCTCCCCGCTCTGGGGTCCCACCTTAGACAGCATCTCATCAGTCTGGGCCTTCACCTGCTGCTCCAGATCCTGCACCTTCCTTGTGATGGTTGCCATCAGCTCGGAGTCATGGAATACAGGGACTGCCAACCAGACAAAGTCTGAGAGCCCATATCTAGAGCTGAGGCTGAGGTACGGGGGTCCAGGGGAAGGGGAGAGGGATCCCCAGGAGTGGAAATAGAGTAGTAACAACAGCTGTCACCTAGAGAATAGGGGCCATGCTAAACTTTCACATACCAACTCATGCAGCCCTTACAACATGCCTCTGAGGAAATGAACTGCTTTAGGAAACTGAGGCACAGAGAGATTCAGTAATTAGTCCAAGGTGTAACATATGGGTCACATTGCCTTGAAGCACTTTTAAAAAAATTCTCCCTCGATCGAATCAAACCTCTAAACCTCCCCCCAGTTTATAGGAAAGACAGAGGACAAGCAAGTTAAACAGCAGACAAACCCAGTGCAGGACATTCCGTAAGACAGGGGCCCGGACTCTTCAAAAAGTCAGTGCCATTTTTAAAAAAGGCAGGGACTCTGTCTTATAAAGGTATTTCAGTCAAAAGCAGCACATGAAACTTGACCTAGATCAAGAAAATAAATAAATAGCGGTGAGCCATGGCCAGGTAGCTCAGTTGGTTAGAGTGCTGTCCCGATACGCCAAGGTTGTGGGTTCAATCCCTGGTCAGGGCACATACAAGGAGCAACTGATGAATGCATAAGTAAGCGGAACAACAAATCGATGTTCCTTTCTCTCTCTCCCTTCCTCTCTTGAAAAGTCAATAAAAGACATTTTTAAAAATAGCTGGGAAATATTTTGGAACTGGGGAAATGTAAGCACAGAAGCGATGCTGGAGACTAGGGCTGAATCACATGCTCTCAGGTGTGATCAGTGTTGTGGCTGCATCTCCTTACTCTTCGGAGATGCGCACTGAAGAATTTAGAGGCAAAATGTCAGGATATGTGTGACTGATTTCTAAACGGTTCATCGAAAAAATACATTTGCATTCATATATGTATATATGGGGGAGAAAAGCCAATGTGGCAAAATGCCACTAATTGTTTCTAGGCAAAGGGCATATGGGTGTTCACTGTACTATTAGTTCAGCTTTTCTATATGATGGACATTTTTCAAGTTAAAATGTGTGAGAAAAGAAGGGAGACATGGGACGAGGCAGGCGCTCTTCCTGCCTGGATGCTGTCTACAGAGGCGTGAAGCAGGAACTGCAGCGGCCACCTGCAACCACGCAGGGCTGACATGCCAAGGACGGCTCAGTGGAAAGATGGAGAAGCCTGAACTTGAGTGTGACTTGAGTTGTTGGAGTAACAACCCTCGAGCTGCCTCCTTAGGCCTCTTGGTATGTGGGACAGTAAGTGCTCCTTAGTGTCCATGCCAGCTGAACAAAGGTTTTCTTTGACTTGTAGTTAAAAGCTTCACTGATACAGACACTTGGGAACTGTCAGCAGAGATGCCAGCATGTGTATGAGCCCACTAAGGCAGGGCGGGGAGAGGGGGGAACCCAGGCCGGTCACCCTGAAAAGCCGGGAGGGCGGGAAGGAGCCAGCTGAGTCAAAACTGGGAGGCAGGAAGACACCTGGAGAGTGGTCACGCTGCCAAGAGCCTGGGTGTTCCGAGGAGGGATCGGTAAACCACGTGAGATGCTGCTGAGCAGAGACGGGGGAGAGGACAGGTGAGCCCCTGGGGGACAGACACTGGCTGTGAGTGGGTGAGGCGTAAACGGCAGGGGCGGTTCAGAGAGATGTGAGCGGCTCTTTAAGCGGAGGGGTGATTACTACTGAAAGTGCCCCAGCTGGGCGGAGGGGAGTCTGACTGTGATTGAAAGGCCGCGGGGCAGACTCTTCCTGCCTCCTTTTCCACCTCAATTCCCCTCCCTCCCATTTAAGTGGGTGGGTGATTGGTGGAGGATCCCATTGAACCCTCACCCCAACATGCTGACCTAGGTGTCCCCATTCCCACTTCACAGAGGGGGAAACGGAGATGGAGAGGCAGGAAGTGGCTTATCTGAAACACACAGCTGGCGGAGCATCCTGACCTCATCCCCAGGTCCTCCAGACACCCAGCTCAGACCCTGCCCCTGCCCAGTGATCCATCCAGCTCATCCTGCCTGCCCAAGTCTCCCCTTTGCCCAGGCGTGGTCGATCCTACCTCTTCTGGAAAGTTGCCCTGAGGACTTTCCTGTAGGTGCCTAAAGTGGGCCCCATCCCATTTTAGGCACCTACATGATCGCAGTGTCACCACAGCCTTTTGAGGTGTGGGGATCCAGGGGAGGGGGAGGAGGGCTATCTAGGGGACTTTGGGCCTTGCCCAGAGCCCTGCAAAGCAGGAAGCAGATAGCTGAGGGCAACCCTCACCCTTAGGCCCTTCATCCTCTGACCCTGTATCCTGGACCCACTGACATCACACTTGATGGTGACTCCAGCCAGGTTCACTCCAGAGGAACTAGCCACTGCCTGGCCCGAGGCCTGGTCACACCTCCTGAGCTAAGGGTGCCCACATAGCTTTATGCCAAACTAGGCCCTGGACAGGTCTGGGGATGCAGGCACATGGTCATGGTCACCCAGAAATGGGAGCAGCTGTCTCAGACCCAGCAGGTAGGGAAGTAGGTGCCATGCCCCTCTGGGCCTCTCTTCTTCTCTGGGGCCCGCTCCTGCTGCTGGGAACCCAGATACCTTTAGGTGTCTGCTCTCACCTTGCCTATTCACAGGGGCACCTATGCCACCATAGCAGGAAGGGAAAGAGGTCCTTTCTTCTGAGCCATGTCCATCATTCAGCATGTCCACCGCATCTTCTGCAGACAGGGATGCCCAGGTAACTGCTGGGGCTAAGGCCCAGAGTAAACTGGGGCCCTGGCCAAGATGAAGCAGCTTGTATTCTGTCCCCCCCAAGCATCTGATAGAAAACTTGGGATGTTGATGAACAAGGATCCAACCAGATTAGGTCTCTCCTTAGAGTTCTCCCAGTCTGGCTCCTGGGAGGACTGAATGACCAATGGCAGCAACATGGTGGGGGCAAGAGTGGGGTTGGGATGCAAAGATCTGAGCCTACAGGAATCAGAGTAGTGACATGAGGACAGGGCTTCAGGGAGAAAAGGCTATTATGGGCTGGAGAAGGCTGCTCAGGGAAGGAGAATTGGGATTTGGCCCCCTCATGGATTCTCAGCACTCACCAGCCAACCCCACAGTGGTGGAGGGCTTCAAATGTTAGTGATGACATCTCTGTTAAGGGTGTGGGGCCTCCAACTGAGAGCTGCAAGAGGAAGCCCTGTCCTCAGGGAGGGGTGGGAGCTGCAGGTAAAACTGGGGTTGGGCCTGCTGCTCTGGCCGACAGAAGTATTCATCGTGCTTTCTCTCCATCTGCCCAACCACAAGGAGACACGGCAGATGGGAGGTGAGGAAGACATGAGGGCAGAGCCTTCACTTACCATCTCCGTAGAGTTTTATCCCTCGCCTCCTGGGAATCCGGGCAGGAAGGAGAAGGAAGATAGATACATTAGGACCCCCTGGAGTGTCATCAGGGAAGAGGCCCTGGGCACTAAGCCCCCAGGCAAGCCTTAAGGAGATGGAGGTTGAGCTCTGCCTCCTGAGGACATCCACCCCCAAATCCCATCCTGGCACTGGGATGAACCAAGGGACAGGCTTCAGGGCATCCAACTCCTCCCAAAGCAGGACAGGGAAGAGCTGGAGGGCAGAGTGTTAGGTGAAAGACAAGAGTCCCCAACTCAAGGACCCAGCCCCAGCTCTGCTTTGAAATGGCTGCGGGATCCCAGGCCTGTCACTCAACCTTTCTGGATCCCCTTGGCCTTCAAATGACTGAAGTGATATTTAGAAGAGTAAGGAGAGAGGTAAAAAAAAAAAATTATTTGGAAAGATGAAAGTGCTAGATAGATGTAAAGGATTCCTTTCACTGAGAGCCCAGCATGTGGCAGGGCCCAGAACAGGGGCGCTGCCAGTGTTTGCACAATGAATGTGGCTGAATAAATAGATGGATGCTAAGCCCCTCCCACAGAGGTCAAAGCTCACTAGAGGGCACAACCCGTGTGTGCTCAACACAACTTGGAGCCTCCCAGAAGGTAGGAGAAAAAAGGTGGGGCTCAGCCGGTGTGGCTTAGAGGTTGAGCATCAAGCTAGGAACCAGGAGATCACGGTTCGATTCCCGGTCAGGGCACATGCCCGGGTTGCAGGCTCGATCCCCAGTTGGGGGCGTGCAGGAGGCAGCTCATCAATGCCTCTCTCTCATCACTGATGTTTCTATCTCTCTCCCTCTCCCTTCCTCTCTCTGAAATCAATAAAAACATATTAAAAAAAGAAAGGCCAGGTGGTAATGGGAAGCTCCATGACTCCTTACTGTTCTCCCCAAGACATGAGGGACCATTCTTCCAGGGCACAGCAAGGGGGCAGGGGCACAGACACAAAGGGCCCAGAGGCCAGCCTCCTACCCTGAACGCACAGGCTCCGACGGCAGGGGCACTTTCCGGGTCTTGCCAAGGGAGGCCAAAGGTGAGCTCATAGTTCCTCTAGATTCTAGCTGTCAGGAACTCCCTGAGTAGAAAGAAAAGTCAGCCCTTGGAGCCACTTCCTCGGGATCAGGAAGTGGCCTGAAACATTCTCTTCCCTAGTCACTTTCCCAAAAGGGAGCACTGTCCAGGGAGCATCACCCTCACTTCTTCCCACTGCTGAGGTTTCTGGAGGAAGTTGGGCCTCAGGATCCCTGTGATTAATATCTGCCTGCTCCTCTGGACATCCCACTCTCTGCTCTGAACCCAGAGGCCTCCATCCTGGTTGTGCTTGGGAACAGGCCATGGGGGTCAAGTGGGCTGCAGAGATGTGCCAGAAGCCTTGGACGCCCCAAATTTAGAGCCCAGGCATGAGACTACTGAAGGGGCCTGGGATTTTTGTCCATCCATCAAGGAGCTGTTCAATACAAAGCCCAAGTATCCCCTCCCTTGTTACCAGAGCCCAGGTGCCACCCCAACATCTCAGAGCCAGAGAGGGGCAACCCAAAGGCAGGATTCAACCAAGACACAGTCCGTGTGGCCGGAAGGTCAAGGATCCAGGCTCTAGACAGGTTCTGCAATCCACCAGAGTAACCCCACTGGGGGGGATGATAATAGTACCAGGCAGGGTTACCGTGGGATTCAGAGTTAACACACATAAAGCACACAGCTCAGTGCCATGATGTGAAGTATGGCTCTATGGCTTTTGTTGGTTTCCTTTCCTTCCCTCTTCCTTCTGGAAAAATGAATGCACATCAGGGACATAATGAAAGGACACTACTATATTCAGTGAATTAAGTAGTATATTATGTGGCTAGTATCTAGAAATTCAAGAACCAAAGGATCTCCATCAAGGTCTGAATTGAGTCTCTTGTTCCACTTTGGAAATGTATGGCACAGGCCTCTACCCTGCCCCTGAAGCTGCCTAGCAAGGGGACTTGTGCTGCCTGGGGGCAGCCTCCTCTGTCTTCCTTCTAGAGTTTGGAACTCACGCCCAGCCCCTTCCTCAGAAGAGCCCTCCAAAGACCAGGCCCTGAGTTTCCTCATACTCACCATCCAGCCTCCCAAATCTTTCCCTATCCTGCCCCAGCCCCTGCTGTCTTCTCCAGACATTCCCATGGTTTTGTGGCCAAGTGTGACAGCCCCTTGTGGTTCCTTTACCAATTTCCAAATGGTGTCAAAAGGATCTTTTTTTCTTTTTTTAAAATATATCTTTATTGATCTCAAAGAGAGGAAGGGAGAGGGAGAGAGAGAGATATTGATCAGCTAGCCTGCAACCCAGGCATGTGCCCTGACTAGGAATCGAACCCTGATCACCTGGATCCTAGGTCTATGCTCAACTGCTGAGCCACGCCCGGCCGGGCAAAAGGATCTTCTTAAACACAAAGCTGGCATGTCATTTCCATGCTAAAAGTTCCCAATGGCTCTTTCTCACCCATAGAAAAAAATTCCAAATTCCTTAACTTGGAGGGCAGGTCCCTGCCTGTGTCTCCTCACCTCTCTCCTCCTCTCCTCTTTCTACTCCTAAGCCTCTCTGAACTGCCAGCCCAGCCTCCAATGCACCAGGCCTTTGTGCACAGGGCTCCCGGCCTGGAACCCCCTGCTGGAATGGTCTACCCACTCCTAACCGCACCCTTCCCTTGACTGGGCTAATTCCTTTTAATTTTTTCAGTTTGTTTTTGTTTGTTCTTTAGTTATATTTTAACTTTTTACTTTAAAGTTATCATAGATTCACAGGAAATTAGGAAAATAGTAGAGAGGTTTTGTGTATCCTTCACCTAGTTCCCCCATTTTACAAAACTGTATGTGTGTATCTTTCTATGCCATGTCGTTCCATGTGTAAGTTCATGTAACCACCAATGCAGTCAAGATACAGAATTGTTGCCCAGCCGGTCGCGGCTCAGTGGTTGAGCGTTGACCTAGGATCCAGGAGATCACAGTTCGATTCCGGGTCAGGGCACATGCCCAGGTTGCAGGCTTGATCCCCAGTCAGGGGCATGCAGCTGGAAGCCACTCAATGACTCTCTAATCATTGATATTTCTCTCTTTCCCTCTCCCTTCCTCTCTCTGAAATCAATAAAGACATATTTAAAAAAAAAAAAAAAAAAAAAGATACAGAACTGTTGCTCTGGCTGGTGTGGCTCAGTTGGTTGGGCATCGTCCCATGCACCGAAAGGTTACAGGTTCGATTCCCTGCCAGGGCGCATGCACAGCTTGCAGGCTCAATCCCCCAGTGGAGGGTGTGCAGGAGGCAGATGCTTCGCTCTCACATCGATATTTCTCTCTCTCTCCCTTCCTCTCTCTTTCTCAAAAAAAGAGGTACAGAACTGTTCTGTCACCATGAAGATCTCCCTCATGCTACTCCTCTATAGTCATACACTCCCTCTCTCCACCATCCCTAACCCCTGGAAACCACTACTCTGTTTTCCATCTCCATAATGTTCTTACTTCAAGGTTATATAAATGGAATCATCCAGTATGTGAACTTAAAAAAAAAAATTATTGAGATATAGTTCATATAACGCTTTTAAAGTATTCAATGGTTTTTAATCAATATCACAGCGTTGTGAAGTCATCACCACAATAAATTTTAAAACATTTTCATTACTCTAAAAAGTCCCAGGCACTGTGCCTTTAGTTGCTAGAACAGCCCTGCATAATCTCTCACCAGACCTGATTATCCCTTCCTTCTCCATCATCACCATAAAGACCCCTCAAAAGAAACTGGTCAAAAAGACAGAAATTAAGCCTCAGTGAGGATGTAGGGAAACTGGACTGTAATTTGTTGGATTGTAAAATGGTGCAGCTGCTGTGGGAAACAGTATGACAGTTCAATAAAAGATGACATACACTTACCTTATGGCCTACCAATCTCACTTGTAGACATATGCCCAAGAGAAATTAAAACTTATATCCACACAAAAACTTGTATACATGTTCACAGCAGCAATATTCATAGCAGCTAAAAAGTGGAAAGAACCTAAATGTCCATCCACCAATGAATGAATAAACAAATTGGTATATCCTTATAATGGAATATTATTTGGCAGTAAAAAAAAAAAGGAATGAAATACATGCTACAATGTGAATGAACCTTGAAAGCACGCTGAGGGAAAGAAGTCAGCCACAAAAGAGTACATATTGCCATGATTCCATTTATATGAAATGTCCAGAATGTGCATTTCATATAGTGACCAAGTAGTTTAGTAGTTGCCTAGGGCTGGGGGCAGTTGTGAAGTAAATGGGAGATAACTGCTAAAGGGTAGAGTGTCCTTTTTGGCTGATGAAAAGTTCTAAAATTTATTGTGGTGATGGTTGTACAACCCTATAAATATACTAAAAACTATTGAAATTTACATTTTTAAAGGTGTGAATTAATTATATCTCAATAAAGCAATCATGGGGGGGAGGGGGAAGAACCTGGTCCCCAAACAAAATCCATCTTTCCCTCAAAATAAGTTCTTCCTCCTTCCCCCCTCTTAACAGAACCCCATTATCCAACCACAACATTTTTCTCTCCTTCTTTCCCTCTTAATCTCGTGCCATCAGGTACCAAATCCTGCAGGCAGAACTCTGTAATGTCTCTCACACATAGCTCCTCCTCTCTATGCCCACTGTTGGCCATCCTAGTGGGGCTTTCACTGTTCTTTGGGGCTGTCACAATGACCCACAATTGACTTTCCTTCTTCCAGTCTCACTCTAGGCCAATCCAACACTGTCTCCGGATCAATTTTCCCATGGATTATAGGAGACCCCTGAGAGCGAGGACTGTATCTTCCCTGGGGTCCCTGAGGATAGAGCCATGTCACTTTGGGGGGCTTCCAGGGGCAAACTGTGTCTTGCCCCTCAGGCCTGGGGCGCCTAAAGGTTGCACTGTCTCCCCCTTAAAGGCCTGGGCTTTGAGGGAAAGCTGTGCCCTGCGCCTCCACATCTTTGGGACCCACGTCAGGACTACGCTTGAGTGACATCTTTCGTCACACCTACTCGACCCGCTGGCTCCCCCCGCGCCCGGGTGCTCTCCAGTGCCTACGGGGCGCGGCAAGGTGCACGCCAGCACTCCCTAGGTCCAACGCTGGGAGCGCTCTCGGGGAGACGTTTTTCACCACCTAACGCCGCCCCGGGAGCCGTGTCGCCGCCTCCCGCCTCCACGCGTAGCCCTGGTAGGCAGGGGCCCGAATCCCACCCCAGAACTCGGACGGCCTGCTGGGGAAGCCGGGCTGCTGGGGGAGCTGGGCCCTCAGGATTCTCGGGCAAGGCCTCAGCATGCGTGCGGTACTCGGCGGGCAAAAGGGCCTCGGGTCGGTACTCACCACGCAGGGCTGGGGAGCCGTCCCGCGGCGCCGCCATCTTGTTGTCGCGCGGTTTCCCAGGCGACCAGGACCCGCTTCTCATTGGCTAATTGTAGGGGGTGTCTGCGCAACCAGCAGGCTGCGGAGGCGGGTACAGTCTTCTGTGCTCGAATGCTATTGGCCCCCAGGATCTAAACTCTTCGCGGGATACTGTAATTCCCAGAATCCACCGCTCCGAGCCGACTCAGGGTCTGGGGAAATGCAAGGAACGTTAGTACCACCCGGAGGCGCAGAAAGCGGGCGAAGTGGGATTAGATTCGTGAAGCTGCTGGAAGCCTCTGGACCTGAGGGTGTGAATCCGATAATGCCATTGATTTGCTAAGTTGATTTTAGGGGAAATTATCCCTCTGAGCCTGTTTCCCCATCTAATCACTGCAGTATTTGGTAGGGGCTATTTTGAGTATGAATTGAATTGATGCAGGTACTTAATAAATGTTTTTTAACTCTGGATTTCTCTGAACACTTCTTGACCAGATGGCTCTCGGAAGGGACGCTTAGATTGTAGTTCCTTTGTGTAAAAGTTCGGGTGAGACACTTCCCTTCCCTGAGCCTCTTCTGTAAAATTAAGGTGTTAGGTTAGAGCAGCTAGGCAGTTTAGTTAAGAGCATGCGGCATGGATTTTGGCCTCAGGAGTCCTGGCTCCTCACTTGTGTGTCCTTGGGCAAGTTATTCAGCTTAGTTTCTTCATCTATAAAATGGGGATAATACCCACCCTACAGGGTTTCTGTGAGGATTAAATGAGATAATGCATACAAGGCACCTGGCCCAACACCCATGCAAAGTAAGTTTTAAGAAACATTTTCTGCTTTTTAAAC